TTCATTCATTCATTCATTCATTCATTCATTCATTCATTCATTCATTCATTCATGTATACAGTATTCTGCCTGCATTTATGCCTGTGTGTCAGAAGAGGGCACCACATCTCATCAGTGGTTACTGGGAATTGGACTCAGGACTTCTAGAAGAGCACTCAGTGCTCTTAACCTTTGAAGTATATCTCCAGCCTACAGTAGTCAGTCTAGAATAGAACCATTAAAACGAGAGGTATACATACTTTGAAAACTCAGTAGTCTAAAGCTGATTCACAGGATCACTCATAAATGTGTTCTAGAGCACAACCTCCCTTTATTTAACCCCAGGGTATAATGTGCTTATGAATGTGCAAACCACTGATCGAAACTGGAAATGGAAGTCAACCAGGGTCATGGTAGTAGAAGTAGTGGCTAGGAAGTTTTTCACAAGCTTAAGGTTCTGGAATTGTCCTTTATGTTCACTTGTTTTCATATGAAGCAACTGGCCTTAATTTGATTCTCGAAAGTTCATGTTATAACATTTCCAAATTATTTTAGGAGCCCTGTAGAAGAAATATGAAAAATTCCATTGCAAAATTCCTAGCTGTACCACAAAACTGGTTATACTAGGTGTCAAATGGTGGCTTTTGTTACATAATATGCTTGCTTGTAACATTCTTTATAAAAGTTCTAGAAGACATTTCCTATGTTAAGGTATGTATGGTGTGTATGGCACGTATGTGTGTGTGTGTATACACACACGTGTATATGCAAGCATTTATGCTTGTATGTGCGCAAATGGAAGACAAATATTAATGTCAGGTTCCTGTGTTGTTTTCTATCTCATCTTTTGAAACAGGGGTCTTGCTATACTTGGAGCTTAATGATTAGCTAGACTGGCTAGCCAGAGAACCCCTGTGATCTTTATGTATTTCTTCAAAGTGATGGGATTACAGGTGTAGGCTGCCACTTTGGCTTTTTTACATGGGTTCTGGGGATCCCAACTCAGGTCCCCACGTTGCAAGCAATTTACTTATTGAGACATTTCCCTAGCCCAAACCTCATGCTTTTATTATAATAACCATATAAGCAAATATTTATGTGAAAGAATAATAAAGCTCTTTGTGGATACTATACATCAATTATAAGAAAAGTTCTAACTCATTGAATCTGTAATTCAGAACATATATAACTTAAATCAAAAGACTAGTAATATTTAAGTGCACACACACTCACATGCACGCACACACACACCCACACCCACACACGAAGTAATATATAGAAGTTTGACTTTTCTAGACCTTAAGCATTTGACTCATTTCATAAACACCACAAAATGAATGTTCCTCATCTAGGAGAAGAAGCAGAATTTGGCCATTCAGCTTTTAATGAAGCATGAATATGGCTACAGAATGAGCTTGCTAGTTACAAGAGGGAAAGAATGAGTCTACAAAATGTAGACGGTACCATAGCCAGGAACACATAGTAAGCAAAGCTGTTACTTATTTTGAGCAGATGACCAATTATAATGTCTTTATGCTTGACTGCAATTCAACACACAGCAGACAAGAGCATTTACTGACTTACCTGCCTTCTGTACTCTTCAACTGGATTATAAACAGTCCACCCATCCACATTAAACTTCTCTTCATTTTCAAATGCAAATAATGGCTAGAAAAGGTCACAAACAAGAGTTTAAAGTTCAGTGTGGAGAAACAGTCTACTAACAGTTTATACTTTCATTTTTCACAAAATAAATTTTATAGATTTGCTAACGATATTGCAACTGAAATTGAGACTTATAACAACAACAAAAAACAACTGTGGAAAATTCAGACCAGCCTTACATTAACTTCTATATTCAGGAATAATTACTTTTAAAACATCAATTTTCTATAGCTACAAATGTCACCTTTGTTTTTTTTTTTAATGATTTTTAATGTTTTAAACACACATATCAGATTTCTACACTAAAAAGTACCTATGAATTTTAAATGTTATTATCAACCGAGCAGTTAAAGACCACTAAAAAGAGAAGGAATGGTTATAAACAGTGCACCTGTCTCAAGAGAGTGTCATGACATGTTTATCTATTTAAAGAGAGAGAGAATATTAAGAAACTTTTAATTAACTGTTCTCTGTGAATTCTGAATCAATGTTCCAGCCTCTGAAACGACAGGACTCTGACCTCTCAAGACACTATTGATTAATTCCCTACCTTCAAATACCATCTGTCCCTTAGTGACCATTCTAACCCCTTGCTCTGGAAGTGGCTATCTAAGTGTCAACTCCACAGTCCCCACAGTTATATCAAAGGCATGAATGAGGCAGGAGAATTGTCTCTGAGGCTAACATCACAAATCCTTGGCTCCATCTCAGTAGTCCAGGCTCTTTCCTGTCTCCTCAGGTTAGTCAATGAGAACCCCATTGACTAACTGAACAAAGCACTGTACTGCCAGTCTTGCCACCACCTGCCTACTCCTCTGACCTCTCACCTAGTTTATTACAGCAAGTCTAGATCATTCCCTGTTTCAGAGAAACAACACTAGAACGTTAAGTTAGATCAAGTCATTCCCCTGCCACAACCATCCCACGGTTTCCCATTTGGCTCACGGCAAAAGATGAAGTCCTTCTAATGGTCCACACAGATATTAGCCATCTGGACACCTCTAGATTCTTTATACATAGTAACTGAAATGGGGCTTGATCCAGAACACAGATTTTTTTTTTTGACTGAATGACACAGTGAAGCCCTGAAGCTCCTGAAAACCCTGGAAATGTGGCTAGATACTTGTTCAATAGGCATATAGCTCCTTATTTTCTTGTTACTATTTTGAATGCCAGTGTCCCCTCACCTATATTACATAGAATATTTGGAAGAGTCTTATTTTGTAGAAATTGTTTTCTATATTTGAAGCGCAAGAAAATTAGGGTAAAAACTGATCACCAACATGCTGGATCCCATTGTCTTCCTAAATTTGCCTATGGATGCACCACTCTCAGTGGCTCTCAAGTCTGATGATGTCAGACTCAAGTGCTATATTCCACAGTGGCTAGCAAGTGGCTCAGACATTAGCCATGACACATACCACCTAAGAAACTGACCAAGAACCCAGACCAACACTGACACTTGCCTCAGCCTTTTGGTGAAAACAGCACTAATATGCTTGGTGAATTTCTCTAAGAAGGAGAGATCTAGCACCCAACTAAGAAGTCTACCATATTTCTGAAAACTAAAAAGCATCCTGACCAGTACCTGGTATGGGTAAATATTCACGATATCTGAATGCTATGATCTGGGGAGAGTTGTACGTGGCACATAAATTGAGATGCACATAATTAAGGATGTGTGGTTAGACTTTGGAAGAAAGCAGTTTTTGCCTTCTTGTAATAAGTTCCTGACCTCTGCATGACTTTGGTGGTTTCATTTTTACTTCCCTGCATTTCTCTCCTATGAAGCAAAAGACCATCTAAGAACATGGAAACATTTTCAAAGTAAATACCACTCTTGAACCAATGGCTTAGATAACCTTTTTCTTAGAGAAGTAAAATGTAGGAATGGCTCTGTTGGTCTTCTTGTGGAGTTCCTGTCACCTCTAGGTCCTTTTCTTTTCCTCCCACTTTTCCACAAGACTTCCTATGCGTCACCCAATGTTTGGCTGTGAGTCTCAGCATCTGTTTTAAGCACTGCTGGGTAGTCTCTCAAAAAACAACTCTGTCAGGGTCCTGTATTATTCACAGTGTTAGGGGTTGACACTTTCTGTTAGGGTGGGTCTTTGGTTAGGCCAAACATTGGTTGGGTATTCCATCAATCTCTGCTCTATCTTTATCACTGCATACCTTGTAAGCAGGGTACCTGGTGGGACTCTCTTCCCAGGCCACAGGAGAAGAGGACACTCTCACTCCTGATGCCACTTGGTGAGCTGAGGTGGATGGAAAGGGAGCTCCCCTTTTCGGGGGAGAAAGGGGGAGGAAGGAAGAAAGAGGGAGGGTAGGACTGGGAAGGAAGGAGGGATAGGGCTACAACAAGGATATAAAGTAAATGAAAAATAGAATGCTTGTCTTTCTGTTTCTGGGTTACCTCACTCAGCATAGTTCCATCCATTTGCCTGAGAATTTCATAATTTTCTTGTTTTTAATAGCTGAGTAGTATTCCATTGTGTAGATGTACCAAAATTTCTGTATCCATTCCTCCATTGAGGGACATTAGGTTTTTTCCTGGTTCTGGCTATTACAAATGAAGCTGCTACGAACATAGTTGAACAAATGCCCTTGTTAAATGGTGGGGCATCTTTTGGGTATATGCCCAGGAGTGGTATAGCTGGATTGTGAGGTAGTGCTAGTCCCAGTTTTGTGAGAAAGTATCAGATTGATTTCAAAAGTGGTTGTACAAGTTTATATGCCTACCAGCAATGGAGGAGGGTTCCCCTTTTTCCACATCCTCTCCAGCATGTATTGTCACTTAAGTTTTTGATCTTAGCCATTCTGATAGTATAAGATGGAATCTCATAGTTGTTTTAATTTGCATTTCCCAGATGACTAAGGATGTTGAGCATTCTTTAAGGACAATTCATGGAGAGGACTTAGACCTCCTGCTCAGCTGTCGCCAACTGACAGCTCTGTCTCCACATGGATCTCTGAGTGAGTGGATCAGGGGCTGCCTCTATCATGAACTCAGTTCAGTTGGCTGCTCTTTGACAACTCACCCCTGATGATGCAGCCTTTCCAGGCCACGGAGGAAGAGGATCCAAACAGTCCCAATGAGACTTAACAAGATATGGGTAGATGGCAACAGTGGAAAACTCCCCCTTACAGTGGACTAGGGGAAGGGGATGAGGGGAAGAGTGAGGGAGGGTAGGACTGGGAGAGCTGAGGGAGGGGGCTTCAATTGGGATATATAATAAATAAATTATGAAGAAAAATAGAAAAATAAATAATATATGAACAATTTAAAAAGAAAGAAAATAAATTCTTTTCTCATAAAAATGTAGGAATGTTCTTTAATAGGACAATAGCACTTTCTAGGTACATTACTATTTCTCAATTCTGGTATTAACACTTGTTGCCTTGAGCATTCCTTTGTATATCTTATATGAAAATCATTGTGAAATTGTTACCAGAAGATTAAAGCTATATGGTCCAAATCACTACCATCTACATATTTTCCTCAGCACCTTAGACTAAATAGAAATCAAGGGCAGGCAGGCAATGACGTTTGTCATTAGCATGCAAACAAGACAAAGTCTTCGTTAGCTATCTATCAGATGGCCTTTCTCAAGAAATTGCTTCTATAATGACACTTCATACTGTGAACTGGGCCACAGGTACTTGCAACCTGCAGCTCCTACATGTGTCCCACAATAGCTGTCAAAGTAGTTAACATGTGTATAGGTAACAGCATGTCTCCCCTGTAGAAGGAAGCAAAGAACTGGTGACAGGAAGGGCTCCTAGATTACTCTTGAGACTAAGAGCCAGATTCACAGCTCAAATATTTTGGAAAAAAATTTGAATCACATAATTGCTAAAATTTTTCTTTAGGAAATAACATACCAACATGTATATATGGGCCGGGATGGAAAACACTAAAGGCTTCAACCACTATCTTCACCATTCCAACAAATTAGTTTTTAATTATAAGGAAACATGTTTTAAAAAAGCATTGCATAAACCGACTGAATCAAGTGAAACAACCATTCTAGAACAGCAGATGCTTATAGCTTTTAATGCAGAACATACTGTGACTTTTTTTTAGAGGCTTTTGTTTTTTTCTTAAAATTTTGGATAAGAGAAAGAAGCAAGAATTTTACAATGTAAGCTCACTGTCACATAATACAAAGGTGGATAATTAGAGAAAACAAAACAAATATTAAGCAGGAAATCAAAGTTACCAAAATTCATACACGAGTACATCATTAACAGTATAAAATTCCCCACAAGCGGTAACTTATTACCAGCCTGTCTGAAGAACATTTTAACCTGAAGTTAATGGGTTACCTGACTTGAGGTTTTCAGCTGGCATTTTGTCTCCTAGACAATACATTGTAGAGCTTTGAGGTCTTTAACATTTCTTTAGTGAACTGGCATTCCCAAATATGACCTTGGGTGGGACTGTTTTTAACTCTCCATCTTACAAGTAAAGTCTCACTGAGAGAACACAGCACCAAGCAAGCAGTGCTATTCACCTAGTAGGTGAGGAAGACATGCACTTTGATTTGCCACATACCCAGGTAAGGATGGCATCTACTCTCCTGACTGCTGAAGCACTGATTCAAAATTCAGCCTTAAGATACCAAAGTCAGAACAGTGAAATGCTTTGCCATGAACTGGTGGTGAGCTTCTGGCCCGTGAATTCTTTGCAGCTTCCTTTTGAGGTGTGGTCCTTCCCCAGCCAGAGTTATGCCTCAGAACTGGGGTATGTTTGGTGGTTCCATTAGATATCAGATACCCACATTCCATTTCACCTCTAGTGAAGCATATTCTTTAGGGTCTCTAGGAACTAACTTCCCTCTTGACTTGGTCCTAGAAGTACAGGTAGACTAGAACAGAATGCTTAGGAATCTGTAGTCAAAATATTTGGGCAATGGCTATTATTTAAAGTTATAATCATGGAATTACAGATTTACAGAGAAAGTAAATGGGAAAAGTTTCTCTCAATAACATTTTATGTAAGA